AATTCGGATGCAAACTACATTCAGGTCCACTTTAGATGTATGAGGAAGAATGCTTTTGAAAGAAATCATAATGTAAAATATTTCAAAAAGAATAGTTATCTTCAAAAAACTTGCTTATATTTTTTTCTTAAAATGCAGTTATATTTGTTACTGGCTGGATACATCTAAAATCAAACAATTGGACTAAAATCACTCATGCCAAATTTGTTGTTTTCTTACAACTTTATCATAGGTCTTTTTTTTTTTTTTTTTTTTTTTTTTTTTTGAGACAGAGTCTCACCCCATCACCCAGGCTGGAGTGCAATGGTGTGATCTTGGCTCACTGCAACCTCTGCCTCCCAGGTTCAAGCGATCCTCCAGCCTCAGCCTCCCAAGAAGGTAGGATTACAGTCATGAACCACCACACCTGGCTAATTTTTTGTGCTTTTAGTAGAGATGGAGTTTCACCATGTTGGCCAGGCTGATCTCAAACTCCTGACCTCAAGTGATCTGCTGCCTTGGACTCCCAAAGTGCTGGGATTACAGGGATGAGCCACCGCGCCCAGCCTATCATGGGTCTTTGCTGAGAAAACTTACTGAAGGTCTATAGCTATATCTCTACATTGTATTTACATCTCTATATGAAACACAGTGCTTCAGATCTTTAGTACTCCATAATCGTGAATGAAAATTAAATAGCAAATTTCAAGCTGGTAGAGAAGAAACCTATGGCAATGCTTGAAGAGGAGAGGATAAAATGAAACATGGAAATGTGAGGGAAATCCACCTTAACATGATTCATGTTAAATGCAGATATTTTAATATCTTTAGTAATCTATCCCATCCATACTCTCTAGGGAAGGTCTGAGAGTTGAATATTGCTTAGAAGGAAGGGAAAGTTGAGAGTAGAGAAATGCTGTGCTTCACCTCTGTTGCATATACTTAAAAGAGAATTTACAAACGTCAGATTTGGATTATTTTGCTATTCTAGTTTAGCTTCTATTTTTTTGTCACTTTTACTGACATTTTCTTCTCTTTTATTGTAGTGTGCGACCCCCTCGTAGACCCCTGCCCAGTACCCGACCCCAAGTAACAGCTCGAGAGTTGGAAGCCGAGTTCAGGTTTATTGGGACCAGCGGGCAGGCCAAGAAAGGAAGGAGATCGGGGGCTGGCTGCGACTGCGCAGCTGGGGTAGGAGGGTTTTATAGGGGGGTGGACGGGGCGTGGACACAGGGCTGGCGGAGTGTCGTAGGAGCTTAGGATAGGCTGTACTTCTCTGGGCAGACTGCTGAGGTGGCTCAGAGGGTTACGTGTCGGTTCAGGATAGGCCGAGGCTTGGCGGGCTTTCCTGCTGCGATGATTGGCTGCTTGTTGTTGCTGGGCAGAACAGAGCAGGCTTGGCGGGCTTTTCTCAGGGCAGCAGGAAGCCTGGGGGGAGGGTGGGGGCAAGAAACCTGGGGGAAAGATGGCGGGACTTTCTACCGAACAGTAGTATTTGATTATTTTATATATGGTAACTATGGACAGCAGAATTTTTACAAACTTATTTCCTGAAAGTAAAATGATAATCATTTTGGAGAATGCTTGGGGATATCTAGTCAATTTGAAGATACACATGTAACCCAGAAATTGTACCTATAGGTATATATCCTGGAGAAACTCTTGCATATCTGCACAAGGAAACAAGTACAAGTATGTACTTGCAACACTGTTGGTTATGTCTTCTATTAATAGAAGAATGAACAAATTAATTGTGGTCTATTTATTGAATTGTATACTATACAGTAGTGAAAAGGAATGAGCTAAGGCTATATATATATCAGCATGGGTGAATCTTGAAAACATAATGCAGAGAGAGAAAGAAGATTGCATACGAATCCCAATAATAGTACAACAGCATTTGAAACAATGTGGCATAGACATGGGATTACAGGGATGAGCCACCGTGCCCATCCCTGTAATGTGCTGGTGTCAGACTCCCTTGGTTCAAATCTGCCTCCACTATTTACTAACAGTAACACCTGGGCAACTGATTGGCCTCCATTTTCTTATCTGTAAAATGGGGGTAATATTTTCCACATCTTATGGTTATTGTGAAAATTACAATAAGTTAGTACTAAAGTATAAGAGGACTACATAGTACCATTATTTTTATGTATATCATATAAGAATATGTACATGTTGGTAAAAGTACATACAAATAAATGAGTGAGAATGATAAACACAAATTTATGATAGTGATTGTCTCCTGGAAAAGGAAATATTTCTTGACCTGTACTTGATGGTTGTTGTTATTCTTTTTATGCCTTTGTGTATGACTTAACTATTTTATGATAAATTTTATGGGCCAGGCATGGTGGCGTGATCCCAGCACCTTGGGAGATCACCCGAGGTCAGGAGTTCGAGACCAGCTTGACCAACGTGGTGAAACCCCATCTCTGCTAAAAATACAAAAATTCGACAGGCATGCTGGCACGCGCGTATAATCCCAGCTACTTGAGAGGCTGAGGCAGGAGAATTGCTTGAACCCATGAGGGTTCAAGGGTTGCAGTGAGCCGAGATAGCGCCATTGCACTCCAGCCTAGGTGACATGAGCGAAACTCCGTCTCCAAAAAAAATTATGTATTTATTTATTTTAATTTTTATTTTTTTGAGATGGAGTTTCACTCTGTCACCCAGGCTGGAGTGCAGTGGCGCTATCGCCACTCACTACAACCTCCGCCTTCTGGGTTCAAGTGATTCTCCTGCCTCAGCCTCCCGGGTAGCTGAGATTACAGGTATGCACCACCACACCCAGCTAATTTTTTGTAATTTTACTAAAGACAGACCACATTGGTCAAACCCTGTTGGTGATGTCTTCTATTAACAGAAGAATGAACAAATTAATTGTGGTCTATTTATTGAATAGTATACTATATAGTAGTGGTAATTCCAGGCTGGTAATTCCTGACCTCAAATGATCCACCTGCCTTGGCCTCCCAAAGTGCTGGGATTACATATGTGAGCCACCGTACCCGGCCTATTTTAATGATACAATTTAAATCAAATAAATGAAATTTATTCTTAAACCTATAAATACAGTGTAACCAAATTTGTGAGAAATTAGAAACTAGAGGAAAAGCTTCAGATTCCACCATTTTATCCCACAATCCAAATTAAGTAATTCTTCCAACAACTGAGTGAGATTGGTGAATGAAGATGTTATTTTGGTAGAATTCTTCATAATAACCAAAAGATGGAATCAGCCCAAATAGCCACCAACAGGAGAAAGGATAAACACGATGTGGTATAGCCATACAATGGAATATAATTCAGCACTAAAATAGGAATGAGATGCTGATATATGTTACAACTTCAGTGAAATTCAAAATCATGCTCAGTGAATGGAGCTAGACACAAAAGACCACATATTGTATGATTCTATTTGTATGAAAACGTCTAGAGAAGACAAACCTGGAGAAGCAAAGAGTAGATTAGTGGTTGCCTAGGGCTTGGGAAAACTGCAAATAAGCATGAAGAATTTGGTAGAGCCACAGAAACATTTTACAACTTAATGATTGTGTTGATTACAGAACTTTGTATATTTATTCAAACTAATTGAATTGTACATCTAAAAGGGTGAATATTATAGTATATAGTACAGGTCAATAAAGCTGTTTTAAAAAGCAGTCTTGGCCAGGCATGGTGGCTCACACCTATAATCTCAGCATTTGGGGAGGCCAAGGTGGGTGGCTCACTTCAGGCAAGGAGTTCAAGTCCAGCCTTGGCAGCATAATGAAACCCCATCTCTACAAAAAAATAATTCAAAAATTAGCCAGGTGTGGTGGCAGGCGCCTGTGGTCCCAGCTACTTGGGAGGCTGAGGTGGGTAATCACTTGACCCCAGGAGGTTAAGGTTGCATTGAGCCAAGTTCACGCCACTAAACTCCAGCCATGGCAACAGTGCAAGACTCTGTCTCAGAAAAAAACAAAACAAAAAAAAAAAAACAAAGAAAGAAAAATAGTCTTAGAAATAGAATAAACATGTGTTCAGACTATATGTGAAAAAAATAGAATAAACATTTATGCTTGGGTGGGAAGGGAATATTATTTCCATTTATAGGCTTGAACATGAAAGGATATGATCCTGAGAAAGAACCCAAAATCCAACTCCCAATGTCAGTAGAAACTCCTTTCTATCAGGGTATGTGTGAGAAGGCCACCTTGGGGTAAGACACCAACATGGAATTGCCACAATTAAAAATAATAATGATAGTGGTATACTACCATCTGAGAGAAACCTTGAGATGATGCTGCTACTTCTTCACGCCCTGTGTGTGGTTTACAGGAGATTCAGAAGTTCCTGTATGCCCTGACTTGGGGACGGTGAGCACCAAGCCTGAGAGAGCGAACTGGAAGAAGCCCGGAGATTGCGATTCTGGAACCATGTACCATGCATATGTTGATGACTCCCAAATTTGTAACTCCAACTTAAATATTTGACCTAACTCTAGGCTGCCATCTCCAATGGCCAAATTGATGTCTACTCTTGCACAGAAATATCAAACTAAACGAAGCCCCAAATGGCACTCTTGATTTCTTCAGTCTTAAATCTCTTCAACCCCACCACTCTCCCTGATGGCCTCCATGAGGAGATGGGCAGATGAGGAGACAAGCAGACGAATGGCATGGCAGAGAAAGAGAGAAGAGAAGGAACATCTCAACACTAAGAGGATTTCAGCTAGGGGCAGTCAGAGAGGAGTTCGGCCACTGAATGGCCAAAACTCTAAGGGAAGATCATCTTCCCACTCCATTCCTCTTCCAACTCACCACCCATCCCACTGAGAACCACCTCCACCACTCAATAAAACCCTGCATTCACTCTTCAAGTCCATATGTGACCCAATTCACATATGGGATGTTGGGCAAGAGCTTGGGATACAGAAAGCTGTCACACTGATCCTCTTCTTTCAAAACAGAAGATCTATTGAGTTGGTTAACATTTAAACTGTCTGGAGATGGTAAGGCTAAAAAAGCATTTTAGTGCTCACTTCGGCAGCCCATATACTAAAATAGGAATGATACAGAGATTAGCATGGCCCCTATGCAAGGATGACATGCAAATTCGTGAAGTGTTCCATATTTTTTTAAAAAAAAAAAGCATCGTAACAGTGGAGCCCCATGTACCCACCCCTAGACACTACCATGGGGCTGGAGCCCAGAGCACTTGCCCTCACTCCTGTACCTGCCCATATGCATGTTCCCCCTCTTGTCAGGGGTTTGATCAGTGGTGGAGACCAAATGGGTCAGCCACACCCCTGTCACACATTCTGCAAGGGGGATCAGGGAACTCTCCTTTTTCACCACTACCACCACCTGTTCTTGGCCACCGTCATCTCTCTCCTGGATGAAGCAACAATCTTTTAACTGGCCTCTCTGCTTCCACTTGTGCTTTCCTCCAATCCATCCTCCACACAAAAGAAAAACTCATTGCAAATTGGGTCCTGTCACTCAAGTACTTAAAACTCTTCAACAGCTTCTCATTGTACACGGAATAAATCCAAACTCTTCACCTTGGTCTGTAAGGCCCTGAATAATCTGGCCCCCACTTAATTCCCACAGTACCAACTGGCATTCTTCCCTTTACCTACTGTATTTACTTATGCTTGTTCTTCTCTCAATCTTCACAATTCCCTAAGTTTTTCCATCTCAAGGGTTTGGCATCCACTGTTTCTTCAATTTGTACCAATTCTTCACCTTCTCATCCTTCAATCTTCAGTTTAAATGCTACTCCCTCAAAGTCTCCTTCCCCACTCATTCTGTCTAAGGAAACTTCCTCTTTACTCTCTGCCTTCATTCCTCATTTGTCTTCTTCATAGCACTTCTCATAATTTGCAGCTATATGTATTGGTACACATATTGTTTAGGCCACTTCCCTTACAAAAACTGAAATTCTACGAACCATGTGCTGTTCACTACTGTAACTCCAGCATCTGGCATAATACCTGGAATGCTGTAGCTGCTCAGCAAATGTTTGTTGAATGAGGGCACTTAGAAAACCACACAGGTATTTCCCACTATTGTCCAATTTTCAGAAAGAAACCTATTTTGTTGGTCTTATCGAGACAGTTTTGATTATAAGTGACAGAACACCACCCTAAGCCTAAAAAAAAAAAAAAGAGAGAGAGAGACTTTTTTTTTTTTTTTTTTAGATGGAGTCTCACTCTGTCACTCAGGCAGGAGAGCAGTGGTGCAATCTGGGCTCACTGCACCCTCCGCCTCCCAGGTTCAAGCGATTCTCCTGCCTCAGCCTCCTAAGTAGCTGGGACTACAGGCATGCACCACCATGCCTGATTAATTGTTGTAGTTTAGTAGAGATGGGGTTTCACCATGTTGGCTGGGATGGTCTCAATCTCCTGGCAGTGTGATCTGCCCGCCTCGGCCTTCCGAAGGGCTGGGATTACAGGCATGAGCCACCGTGCTTGGCCAAGACAGACTTTAATATGCAGATACATGGTTCTCCCAAGAAGCTGAAGGGCAAAGGCATAGGTATGTCTTAGGAAAGAACTCAAAGCAGGAATTAGTGTAAGGTAGAGAACTCAAGGATTTTGTCCTACTTACAAGCTATCAAGTTAGCCTGCCTCAGTTTCATGGATTCTGGCAGATGACACAAGATTCCTGCATTAGAGACAAGGACAGTATATCACTCATAGCAATAGTAGCCAGAGTATCAGCATCTGCACTGGTTCCCACAGAGAGACATGAAGTAAGCCAGGTGGGGCTTATACACCCAGTAGGTTGTGTTACCAGTGAGAAACTCTAAGCTTAGGGAACCCAAATCTTTATAATGGTCAGTAAGTAGCTGACCTTTGCTCAGAAGGGAAACATTACCTTTTTCTTTATATTGGATAGTAAACAAATCTGCTCTTTGCTCCACAGGGAGAAATTATCTCTGTTCCAAGACTATTTGCTGTGTAAACATCCCTGAAATGATATTGCAGAACAAGAGTGGCCAGTGCTACATCACAAGATATGCAGAAATGCAAGAGATCCATGGAGAAATGTCTCCCTGTTAACAAGCAGGTGTGGAGGAAGAGGAAGAGCTAAGCAGAAAAATACTATAGACATCCACCATAGATACATCTGTGGAGCTGTGGTACCTTCAATAGTGGCTAAGGCAATAAGTTTAGCTCTTGTTACAAATGAATTCAGGGAGTAGCTATTAATCTGTAGTTTAAAAAACCTTTACCATTAGATTATTTTTCTTAAGAAAAACACTGATATCTCTAAAAGGCAGTTTGAGAACAATATTAATGTGCTTTTTATCTATCATGGAATACTATGCAACCATGAAAAAGAATGAGTTCGGGCTGGGCGTGGTGGCTCACGCCTATAACCCCAGCACTTTGGGAGCCCAAGGTGGGTGGATCACAAGGTCAAGAGATCGAGACCATTCTGGTCAACAAGAATGGTCTCTACTAAAAATATAAAAATTAGCTGGGCATGGTGGTGTGCACCTGTAGTCCCAGCTACTTGGGAGGCTGAGGCAGGAGAATGGCTTGAACCCAGGAGGTGGAGGTTGCGGTGAGCCAAGATCATGCCATTGCACTCCACTCTGTCTCAAAAAAAAAAAAGAAAAGAAAGAAAGAAAGAAAAAGGATGAGTTCATGTCCTTTGCAGGGCTATGGATGAAGCTGGAAACCATCATTCTCAGCAAACTGAGACAAGAACAGAAAACCAAACACCACATGATCTCACTCATAAGTGAGTGTTGAGCAATGAGAACACATGGACACAGGGAGGGAAGCATCACACACCGGGGCCTGTTGGGGGGTGGAAGGGTTAGGGGAGGGATAGCAGGAGGTGGCAGCATTGGGAGGGATAACATTAAGAGAAATACCTAATGTAAATGATGGGGGGATGGATGGAGCAAACCACCATGGCATGTGTATCCCTATGTAACAATTCTGCATGATCTGCACATGTACCCCAGAACTTAAAGTATAATAATAATAATAATAATAAAACAATATTAATGTGTTTTCACAACAATCTGTATGAATGAGAACAATTTAAATTCCTGGCAATGATGAATTTGAAATAATTTTTTTTCATGGACTCTCATTTTTAAATTCCGTTTCTGTTTCTTAAAGAAATATTGTAGCAAAGGGGAAAGTAGGGTATTGTTTGATGCTTTTCCTGCTTGAGGGAATCTGAAGTATTCTGACTCTGTATGAATTAAAAAAAAGTTGGAACACTTACAGATACTTTTTAAAAATTCTAAGGCAGAACTAAGGGGATCGAATACCCTGATAACTCTTGATAACCATTTCAGATATTTTATTATATTTATACATGCTTTTGAAATTCCGGTTAGCCACAGTTCCATGAATGATGAAGTCATAGAGTCTTAGGAGGTGAATCACTAGTCAAGGCTTACTGCTACCAGAATAAACTTCCTCTATAATTTCTCTCTGACTGATTGTTGTAAAATGGTAGCTTGTAAATAAACCAGTGATTCATTTATTGTATTCAAATGATGAATTTGAAATAATGTTTTTAATGGTCTCTCATTTTTAATTTTCTGTTTCTGTTCCTTAAAAAGATATTGTAGCAAAGGGGAAAGTAGGATGTTGTTTGATGTTTTTCCCGCTTGAGGGCAAACAACTTGCTTATATGTTATTTGTCTTAAGTTGTTGAAGCCACAAAATATTGGGCTTGAATTAGTTTAACTCACTATATAGAAAATTTAGTAGCGCAATTAAACACTTAAATAGTTGATAAATTATGAAAATGATCCTCAAATCAATTACAAAACCAGGATTTTAGATCTCAGTAAAGGATGAGTATTTAGAAGCTTCCTTCCCTCTAAGTCAGTGTTAATGTTTTGTCTCTGAAATTTAAGAAAGATAATCTCTGTTTTTTTCCCTGTTTCTCCCATATCTAACCCAAGAGAAAAATGAAACGATTTCAGTCACATTTAGCAGTAGAGTTAATCTACTAGCAAATCTAAGTGGAACAAATTACACACAGTTTTCATGTGAAAAAATATGTGAAAAAAATAGAGAAATATTTTAATATCAAATATTCATTAAAGTTTACATGCAAGGCACTAGTTTATCTAATGAGAAAAATCAGAGAAGTAAAACAACAAAACAGCTTCACATTCTTTAATATGTTCATTCAGAGTATTAAATGTCATTAATTGACCATCATTATTACAAAATTTACTACTTAATAAGTGAGTTTTAGTACAGTGCTATTTAAAGTGTGGAACTGTTTGTTACTGGTGTGTGATAAATACAGAAACTGAGACTAAGCATTTAGAAATGCTCAGTCATGGTGAAACCCCATCTCTGCAAAAATACAAAAATTAGCCAGGTGTGGTGGTGGGCACCTGTAATCTCAGCTTCTTGGGAGGCTGAGGTAGGAGAATCACTTGTTTCCGGGAGGCAGAAGTTGCAGTGAGCCAAGATCACGCCATAGCACTCTAGCCTGGGTGACGCAGAGAGACTCCCTCTCAAAAAAATTCCAGCCTAGACAATTTGACATAACAATTTTCTGTCTGTTGAATCTAATAATAAAAAATCATTTTTCAATTTTATCTTTCTAAAGATAAAATTTTTCATATATCTTTCTAAAATTTAATTTGTCAAGGAATTCATTTTTAGCATATTTTGCAAAAATGTTACCCTATAGTTTGATACTTGAAATAAAAATAAGAAAACTAGTTTTCACCACAGATAGTTTTAGAAGCCTATTTCAGCATAAAGCCATCATTTAGTATAAAGTCATCTATTATTACTATTATTCTTAAGTGGTTACTGAGCACTATAGCAGTAGGGTAGGATTATAAGTTGTTTACTAAATATGCTAGATTTATTAACTTATGTATTCATTTATTGAAAACCCAAAATATTTGAAGTACTTGATGAAGCTGATGTGGTAACCATTGCCTCTCTGCCCATATTCCTTTTTGGAAATAGTATAGGATTCTGCTCACTTCTGACTCCAGCCTCAGCATGCTGTACCATGGTGGACTAATATTAGTTAGTCTAATAATATGTGAGTCTAACATTATGTCATCCAAGAATCTGGAATTGGGACACTGAGAGACTAAGTGATTAGGTCACAGTAGACACATGAA